GAGGTTGGGAGGATGGAGTGGTAAAAGGATTTTGGGAAGATGATCGAAACCGATCTCATTTTACTCTTAAAATAACAAAGAAGGTTGGCTCGGGTATTTAAAGCGATATGGGGATACTTGTTATGGGCACATAAGAATAGGGAAGTTAGTGAGTACCGATTGGTGAGAAAAGGAATGTAGGTGCAGAGAGTCTTAAATGATATGTGGGAAAAATAAAAAAAGTTAAAAAGGAAAGAAAAGTGAGAAGGTTGAAAATAAACTGAAAATCCGTTGTTTTTGCCTGTGCAAAACAGATTTACTAGGAACTGCGGGAAAGATGGGAGACGCAAATGGGTCAGGAGGACAAGGGCCCATAACCGCGGCCGAAATCGCGCGGTTGTTGGATAATAGAAGTATCAGAAGGTCTCAGCTACCACGGATAAAGATCTTTCCATTCCAAGGAAAAAGGGTGTCACACTGGCTTGAACTACTGAAACAAGTCTTCAACCGACTAACGCCGGCGGAAAAATTCGCTCAGTTGTTTGAATACGTTTGGTGGGAATATCGCCCCGACGTTGAACAAATTGTGGCCGATGCCCAAGGGAACTGGAACAATTTCAAGAAGGAAATGCAAAGAAAGTACAAACTGGGAGATGGGTTGTTAACAATCGACCAGCTCTATAACGTCAACAGAAGCGACTTCACCACGATAGGAGCGTTTGGAACAACTTCCGAGAAAATGGCAAAACGAGTGTCAGGGTTTTCCGAGGAGATGCAATGTCTCATCTTCCTGGGACAGTTCTCAGGATATGAGACTATGGAATTAACGCGGGGAGGGGCACCGGGGAAAAAGACTTTATGGGAAACGATAAAGAGAAATTTGGCATCTGGGGATCCGGACCATGTATTCCACCATCAAGTGAAGATGGAAAGGAAGAGAAGAAAGGAGATAGGTATCGTCAAAGGGGCCGACTCAACCTTGGGAGGAGTATTGAGTAGTATGGTGACTGAGCTGAAAGAGTTGAAAGACAAGGTGGAGTCGGAAAAAGTGATGGCAGTCGAACAAGTGACAAACAAGAGAAGACATGAGGAGGGAAATTAAGGCAATGAGGGAGAAGCGAAACCTGATGAGATGACGCAATCTAAGAAGACCCAAAAGCAGAACCAAAATCAGGCACCTAGGAAACAGGGAGCAGGAAAAGGACAAAATTCACAACAAACTTGGGCACCGAATGTCCCAAGGGCGTCATCGCCGGCTCCTCCGTTCGGACCTTGGCCAGTGGTAGCTCCTATGGGAGCATGGCCAGGATATTACATCGGGAATCAGTGACCGGGATTTGGTCATATTGGAATGAACCCAAATTTAGCCCAAGTTCAAGGAACTGGGGCAGGACCATCACAAGGGCAAGGAGCAATTGGGGGTCAGCCTCAACATGCTCTGCCACCACAAGGTAACCAGGGTCAAAATCAATTTTAGGGACAGGGACATGGTCAAGAATATGGTAGGGGTAGAAATGGAGGAAGAGGAAATGGCAAGGGAGGAAGAGCATTCAGAGGACGAGGAAATGGCGGACAAAGTGAGAAGTGGGGACCTCAAGGAGGTGCTCAGTTTGGGAACTACAATCAAGTAAGTTTCAATCAGATGGGACAAGGATAGAACCAAGGGTACGGTCAAGGGTATGGGTTATAATCAGAATTATGGCAGGGGTTTTAGGAGAAGTGATGGGCAATGGAATGGTCAAGGGGCCGGACGAGGATGGATAAAGGACATACCGTAAGAAGATGTTATGTTAGAAGGATGGATGAGCAGGATGGATTAATCACATCGAGTATCGACGGGGATGTATTCAATAAGCTAGGAGACAAAATTGACCCAAACATCCCCAGGGGCACAAGGAAAGAGGCCATCAGGGTTGCAGGGCTTGGACCCAGTGCCCCTGCCATGTTTCGAATATGGCAGGAGAAAGAGGATCCTTTTGTTTAGGTGGACGAAGTTGACGAACTAAGTGACCAGTTGAAGAAAGGAGTGAGATAAGTGAGGAAAAAAAGAATATACCGCTGGTTGAAATTGAGCCAGAAGAGGACATTGTAGTTAGAGAGTCAGCAAGATAGACTTTGGGGAGAATGGAAGACATGATAGATAAGATGGGTAGATTAAACGTAAGGATGACTGATATTTGCGAGGAGGTGAGGAATTTAGAGATGAAAATGTCACATGTATTCATGATGGGTCAAGGGAAGGAAGATGATGGACCGAGAGCTCCTAACCCCAGAGCATTGAGAGCCACGCTGGCTGCTGGGTCAGAAGCTGCCTATCGGGCTCTGAGGAACTTTGTCCCTCATACTGCACGAAAGCCCAAAGGAGGAAATACGCCCAAGGAACCGGCACAGGCTCCTGTACCACCTCAAGGTGGAGCCTCTATCGAAATAGAGGAAGAGGAAGAGGAGGAACATAATGAGTTACCAAGGGAAGAAGAGGAAAAACAAGCCGAGCAGAAGGCAAAGAAAAGGAAGCATGATGTTAAAGGAGGAAAGGAAAAGACCGGGGAGAAATTAAAGAAGAAGTGAAAGTACCAGACGTCAATAGAGGAGAGAGTAAACCTAAAGAACTTTGTAAACAAACTTCTTGAAGGACATAACGAATTGTTGAACCTAAAAGAGATTCTGGCAACAACACCCAAACTCAGAGAATTAATAAAGGCGAAACTGGTCCGAAAGAGAGTAGCAACAGTGAGGTTGGGAGATCTAATTCCAAAAGAGGTCAACTGGACAGTGGTTGGAAGTAAAATGGACTGGAAGTTTGTGGGAACCGGATCCATTGACGTCAGTATCAGAGGGAAAGGATGCCCTGGATGGTGGACACAGGAGCTGAGATGAATATCATGAACCTTGAAACAACTGAGAAGCTAGGGTTGAAAATCGACAGAAGAGACAGTGGATACCTTAATGGAGCTAGTGGAAAGTCAGGTTACATAGGGATTGCCTCAAATGTGATCGTGGAAATAGGAAGCGTCAGGGTCCGATCTTGTTTCTACATCATGCCTACTCTAGATCTTCCCATATTGTTAGGAAGGTCTTTCTTATCACGATCAGAGACCCTTATCATGAACAAGCACGATGGGACTATGTACGTGATCCTGTGTGACCCTGCCTATAGTAACTTCGAAGTTATCACCTGTAAAAATACAGGTCCTCATAGCTCGAAGAACCGGCTCAGTGATGGGTCATATACTTTTGAGGAATCTGAAAACAGGCGAAGAGAATTAGAATGGGGGTCTGATGAGGAAGTTGAGGATGAAGAAAGTGGAGGATTGACCTTGAGTCTGGCCAACATCGATTAAGCAATGTACATGGTATCCGCGTATGATATGGCGGAACCTGAGGCCATTCGGACTTTGGCAGACAAATTGTATGATTACCCTGAAGGAGGAAGGATGAAACTGGTATACAGACTACCCCGTCACGAGGAGAAAGTACAGGGGTCATATGCCCAAGCTTGCAATCAACGTTTTTTAGGGGTGGGCTCAAGTAGGGGGGGAAAAAGAGGTACAAGACGATAGATAAAAATAGTCATCATGTATCGATCTTATTGACACATGAGGAGGGAGTATACTATGAGCAGGATAGAGAGTTGATTTGGCAGATGAGAGAGAAATGAAGAACTGAATCCTGTCATATTAACAGGGAGATTGAGAAAGATCTGATCATTGGTGAACCAGAGTTCTTGACCAAACAGGAAAGGGCATTAGTAATTGACTTAATGAAGGAGAAACACTGCGCCTATGCCTTCAACGATGAGCATAGAGGAAGGCTGGATGTGGACAAGATAGGGATGATCCGGATCCACACAATCCCTCATCAACCTCGGAATGTGAGAGGAACCAGGTACCCAAATCCCGATGATCAGAGAAGGGTGGTAGAGTACCTTGACGGAAAAATTGGCTCTCACGTAGCAGGGTTTTCTAACGGACCTTATGCCTCACCATGGTTCTGTTTCATCAAGCTAAATGGAGTACTCAGGTGGGTGCAAGACTTGCAAAGGTTGAACGCTGTAACGGTCAGGGATGCTGGAGGGCTCCCTAACGCTGATCAACTCTTTGAAGCCTGTGTTGGAAGGTCCATTATCTCGCTCATAGATTTGTACTCTGGTTACGACCAGTTCTCAGTGTATCCGACCGATAGGCTAATAACCACAATGCATACTCCAAGGGGATTGATTCACATGAACATGGCACCCCAAGGATTGACGAACGCGGTAGCCATGGTGCAAAGGAGTATGGTGAGAGTCATGCAGCCAATCAGTCCACAAGTTACTGAGCCGTACATCGATGATCTAGCTGTGAAGGGCCCAATGGTGAAGAATGAGCAAGAGGTTGCGCCTGGCATAAGGAAGTTTGTCTGGGATCATGTCAATGATCTCAGGAAGGTGCTTGATTTGTTACAGGAGTATAACCTCACGGCTAGCGGAGCTAAGTCCAGGCACTGCATGAGAGAGGCTACTGTATTGGGCTTTGTATGCAATGAGCAAGGTCGTCGTCCAGACACCAGGAAAACGAATAAGATCCTTGAATGGCCTGCTCCATTCAGGAACGTTAGCGAAGTAAGGTGTTTTCTTGGAACGTGCGGATTCTGGAGAATCTTCATCGAAAGGTTTGCTGCAAAAACTGAACATGTGAGGAAGCTGGTAAGGAAGAATCAAGAATGGGAATGGGGAGAGAAGCAGTAACAGGTAGTGAAAAGCTTGAAGAAGGAATTTGAGGAAGGAGGTATTGTGTTGGGGGTCCCTGACTATGAAGTTGTTACAGAGCGACCCTTTATCATAGAGACTGATGCTGGACCCACCGCTTTGGGAGGAGTTCTAATACAGGCAGATCTGGAAGGAAAGGAAATATCTTTGCGTTTTGAGAGTCGAACCCACAATACTACTGAGCGGAACTACTCTCAATTCAAAAAGGAGGCTTTGGTCGTGCTGCACTGCCTGCGTATCTTTAGGCACTATCTCTATGGGAGAAGGTTTGTCATGAGAATAGATCCAACCGCCCTCGTGTATTCCCTCAAGAATTTCKCACCCACAGATCCTACTATCGCCAGGTGACTCATATACATCTGGATGTTCGACTTTCAATTGGAACGTATCTCAGGGAACAAGAACAAGGCTGATGGGTTGAGCAGGATAGAATGGGAGAAACCCGGAGATGCCAAGGAGGAAACTCCACCAGTAGATGGATTCCTAGATGAAGATGATATGCAGCTCCATGTGAACTCATGGAGACTGAGTGTTAATGATAGGGAAGCAAGGAGAGGGAAGTCCATGTGGTACGCACCAGCAACTTTTGTAAAAATCGAAGAATTGGTGTTGAAACCTTTCATTGAAGAAGACCCATGGGGAGAAAGGAATGGAGAGTGGATGAAGGAGTTGGCTTGGGCAGAGACCTACAGACTGACTGACGACCCAGTAACGATTGAGGCAGGAACGAAGCAGGTAGATCATCGCCTGCTGACAATGGGGAGAGTACACTATCTTGTCAACGCACTCCTGCAAGTTCAGGCTGAAAATGAAGGAGAAATAGTAAAGGCAGATGAGATAGTGTTGGGGGATGATCTCGAATTTGATGAGGAGATGAAAGGAGACGAGTTTGAACAAGGGGGGATCTCAGAGGATTTCCGGGAAGAAGAATATGATGGGTTCCATCTAGAAATGTGACTTCTTCTCTCCTGGGATAAGCGAGAAAGGGATGTTAGTAAGAAGACTCTCCATATGAGAGATCACTGCATAGTGAGGGGAGCCCATCTCTTCATCAGGGATAAAAGAGGACCTCCCAGGAGAGTCATTTGTGGAAGGAATCGGCAAATCGATGTGATAGAAGCACTTTATGATGGACCCGTAGGAGGTCACAGGAGTTTTACCACTACCATCAAGAAGGTGACCGAACTGTACTTTTGCGAAGGTATGTATGAAATGATCCGAAAGTACTGTGAGCCGTGCGTCCCTTGTCAAATCAAGTTTCCAATCAGATACAAGGAACCCCCACATCCAAGGTATATCAAGGATGTAGGGGCAGTGATCAACCTGGATCTCCTAGCAATGTCATTGGGACTTGGGAACTATAATTATATCTTTGATGTTCGAGATAATCTTACAGGTTTTGTTGATGGAAAGACCATCCGGACCAAGACAGGAGCAGTCTTAGCAGAATGCATCAAAGAGTATTACCTCCGATATCCTTTCGTGGTGAAGTTTACGATGGATGGGGTCTGAGTTTACGTATGGAGAAGTAAAAGAACTGCTAGACGATCTTGAAATTATTGCCAAATACACGACCAGGGCACATCCTCAGGCGAATGAACCTGTTGAAAGGGGACACAACACGATCACTAACTTGCTGGCAAAGTGGACAGCTGGGAAGCCAAACCTGTGGCCGAAATTCCTGAGAACATTGTTCTTTGTCGAGAACATCACGGTCAAGAGAACCACATGTTATGCCCCTGCGACCATGTGGTATGGAAGGCATGCCACGTTTCCGATAGAGAGTTTCTTGGAAACGTGGCGAAGACAGGATCTTGAGAACGATATGCCCTTGGAAGAATTGCTTGACATCAGGGTTAGGCAAGTCAGTATCACTGAAGAGAGGATACAGGAAGCAGTGGAGAGAGTGATTGACAGTCGTGGAAAGGACAAAGACAGGTGGGATAGATCTCCTTGCGTATGGGAAGAACCATTGGAGATCGGAGATATAGTACCGCTATACGATTCCTCACTCGAAAAACAATGGTCAAGGAAGCTGGACAAGAGGTGGTTGGGACCCTTCAGAGTCAGACGCAGAGGCAATCATGGAGCCTATGAGCTTGAAGAGATGGATGAAACACCAATAAAAAATTGGATTTCAGGATCTAGGCTGAAGAAGTTCAAAATAAGGCAAGAGGTGAGTTGATAAAAGTTGGAAGAATAACCTGATGATCTTGTGAAACCTTTGTTATGACATTTCCTTTGCGAATATTCTATTGTTAACCAGCTGCTGACTCTTCCTTTTATCTGTCACTCCCTTTCTTTTTCTGTGTGCAGGCATGACCCCGGAAGCAAGCAGCCATGGCACAGAAGGGAAGGATGGCGGGTCCTTCAATGACAACCCCTGGGAGGGAAGGACGAAAGAAGGTGCAACTGGTAACAAAGGATTCCCAAGGGGTGCTTATCTACAGAAAAGGGGACAATTTGAGGGTTTTTCTGAGGGAATTTGAAAAGTATGCCTTCAGGATAGAGTGCGATACTCAGACCATGCTTCAACAAGTGGCAGGTTTGGGAGAATGCAACGAGACGATATATGAGATTGCCTCAGATTGTTTAGGGAGGATGACCTTCAAGGCGGATATGTGAGCGAAGTATGGGGATCTGAGGAGAGATGAAATCGAAGATGATATCATCTTCGATGGTACCAACTTGGAGGATTTTGAAGACATTATCAACCTTTGCGCAGAGAAAAGGAGGTGGGGTGAGAGGAAGAAGATGAATCAGGTAATGAGGAGAATAACACCAAGGGAATATGAGGCAGTAAAAATGGTCAGGGAGGAGTCAGATACCTGGGGGAGTTTCCTTATCAAAATGAGAAAGACCTATCCCTTGGAGGTACAGTGGCAGAAGAAAAAACAACTACTTCAGGAGCAGGGGTTGTGGATTGACAAGAGAGGAGAGAGGATGGAAAGAAGAGCTCAGAAAGAGAATGGGGGAGATGACACACCTCCTCGACAGGAAGAGGATGAGGTTAGAGTTCAAGGAGGAGATGGTTCAATGAGGGAAGACAAAACACGAGGGGAGGAACGCAGTGAGAAGGAAGTGGAAGGCAGTTGTATGACTAGAAAGGTGAAGAAGGGAAGTAAGAAGATGAAGGAAGGACAAGGAAAGGGAAAGAATGATGAGAGGGTTGAAGAAGCAGGGCCATCTGAACTGCCGAAGTACCTACTTCCAGTGAACCCCCAAAAGAACAAGGTTCAAGGAGATTGAAAGAGGAGGAAAGACAGAGAAGAGAGGAAGAAAACAAGGAATGGAGAAATCAAGTTGTGACTTCGCGAAAAGAGAAGGAACTGCTTTCGGATGCACCATGGAGCCTGAAGCTGGAAAAGATACTACTCTCTTAGATTGTGGTCAGTTCCAAGCTAGCCTCTGATGTGAACAGGTTGATTCGATTGCATGAAATGCTCAGGGAAGACTGTGAGTGGCTCCTCGAAGGGGAAGCAGAGGTGGCTGATAAGTTGGGAAGAATGGAGGAAGGAAGAAGAAGGGAAATGAAGATCCCCATTCAGGAACTTCAGGACAGGATAAGGGAAAAGACAGAGTTGCTCACGTGGGGGTTAGCAAACTATGTCCCTGAAATCCTGAAGGAGATTCAGAGGTTGAGGGCAAGGGAAGAAAGAAAGGACATGCAGTGGACAAAAGTGGAAAAGGAGATGAAAGGTTTGAAGGCTGAGACGAAAAAGACAAAGATTGAGCAGGGAAAGCTGAAAGTGAAGGTGGAAGCACTAAACATTGCCCTTGACAACAAAAGTGAGGTGGAGACAAAAAAAATGGAGAAGGAGAGGTTGGAAAGGGAAATTGGTAAGTTGGAAGCAAAAGTCAGTGAGCAAGGTAAGGCGATTGAAGTAGAAAAAAACGAAAGGAAACGGGAGAGTGAAAAATGGAAAAAAAAATGGAAAAAGGTGGAAGAGACTTTGAAGAAGTCAAAGGGGATATTCAGGCATAAGTCGAAGAAGGGGACATTAAAAAGATTGAGGACAGAAGGGAGGATCCAAGGGTGGAAAGAAAATGGGATAGACCTAATGATAGGCAAGACAAAGGGATGATGGTTGCAGTTGTCACCTTGCTTGATGAAAATGCAGGAGAAACATCACTGACTGGTAACAGAGTGAGACAGGATAGGAAAAGATCTTACCTTGAGACATTAATTGGGGCAGCATCTCAGGATATTCCATCATCTGCAAAAAGAACAAAGGAGGAGGAAAAGAAGCTATGCTGGTATTGTATGAAGGGAGTCAATAGGAGAGATGATTGTCCTGGGTTTAAGACAGAGAGGGCTAAGGGGTTGCTTAGTCTCGATGAGAACATCAGACTCATCGATAGGAAGGGAAATCTAAGTAAAAGAACAAAGGAAGGGTTCAGGGTCTAATTGTATGAGCAGTTGGGACTCACCTTAGAGGATTAGAATGAAACAATTTTGAAGTTCCTTTCAGAAAGGCATTATATATTAGGGATTGAGGATAAAGGAGGTAGTGTGGTGAGCTTGTTACTTAATCTTCTTACGAGCATCAGATAGAGTGTTTTAGTCAATTACAGAGTATGTATTTTTTTCACAGTTACTAGGATTAGGAGATTTTGTAGCATCATGTATGTTCTTTCGACTCGACATTTGTACTCTAGTAGTTGAGGATAGATCAGACGTATGATTCATTTTCTGTCTTGAGGCGTTGTGCGTCAGTCTGGATCAGTTTCACATATACTTTGTATTCAGTTGAGATTCTTTATCCCAAGTTATTTGCGAGGTATACCTATGGGAAACTTGAATACTTTGCACTTTCACAATTGAGTTGGTCCACTGTTTGGTTTTGGTTGATAAACGGTGTACTTTGGATATGTGTACAGTCTATGCTATCAAATCTTCAACTAGGATGCTAAGAAAAGCGCCTAAGTGTTCAAGAGTGACAAAATGAAATGAGATTTGCAAAGTTTAAAAGTTGTTTTGCACTTATGATGAGTCATTTTTATGCCTTGTTTATATGGTTATTTTTTAAAAGGACCCTAAAAAGGGGTATGAAAAAGTCAAAGTTATTATGCATTTGAGAAACCCTGTGAATCAGGGAAATGTATGTTATGAATGAAATGGATGTTTTTCTGCCTTCTAACAAGACAAGAGGTCAAACACATACTTTTACACTTTCTTTATGGATATTTTGGTTGGCTTTTTGGAAAAGGATCCCCGAGACGTGTGCCTGTCCAGCCTGTGATCGAGGTCTGGGATGCACGGCCCCTAAGTGGCTCTGACGATGCCCCTCGATCAGAGACAAATTTGACAATTATGTTAAATCATTCTTATTGATATTGTTTATTTCGTTTATACATTCAATGGGGTTGTTCACCCATTTAAAGACAACTAAGGGGGGATAATTTTTTTGGTCAAATTGAATTTCATATGTATATTTTTGAAATGATCATCGCTCATCCACTTATGGAGGTCAGTCTGAGGGACTTAAAATTACCAAGACTATGATGAAAAATTGACATCGTTGGGACGTAACTCCCAGTGTGGGCTGCAGACCAAGTATAACCAGACAGTGGGCCTCCCGATTACGGCCTGAGACTAAACTTGAGGGCAGGGACTCCCTAATGACAGTATCGGTCCAGGTAGATATCGGAGGGATCAAGAGTCAGGTCTAGATATTTTGGTAGGAGGTATTTATCCTGCGTTGCGTAACCAATGCAGGTACCGCCATTAAATTAACAACATGGTGGACCACAGATCAGGCCTGATCAACCGACTGTTGTGGGTTGAAACCGAGGTTGCCGATCCCCTCGCATTAGACTTCGGGTGGGACGATAAAAACTGACTTTGGTTGAGACCCTCATCCAAAGAGTATGATTCATTTACGAATCCTAACTCTTCGGACACCCAACGAGATCCTGGCAAATAAAGTCTGAAGTTGAGGGGAGAGGCTATCATTATCTTCTTTGGTGACCTCCGTAACTATTGTACAGATCCAGTATCCCCACTTTTGAGTCATATGGAATAATCTTGCTTTGGTATTATAATTTTTTTGGATATGTGGGAGACCCAGGTTGAAATCCTGACAGTATGGACGCACCAAGGGAGACAGTGAGGGTCTTCAAACCACAACTTCGTCCAGGAAATCGGATTTTGACAACTTGTCGCATTAGAAGGTCTTTTGTTTGCATTTAGGTTCCTCAACGATGGGGACGTCGCTTAATGGGGTCTGGGAATACAGTCGGAGCTGATACCCTTACAAGGGTATCCGCTCATGATTTTGTTGTCGACACAATATCCACACTAACTGCCAAAAAAGAGACGGCTAAAAATAAGAAAATAGGTAAACCCCTCGACCGTTATATTCACGAAAGTAAGTAACAGCAAGGGGCCAAGACACGGCACGTACGGACACAAGTCAGGGGTTAAAAATTTTGAATGTCCATCTGCGTCGTTGCAACGCATGCAAAGACGATGGGGGTTACTAGACTAGAAATTTGAAAAACCACGCGCGTCATTCTAACACTCGCGAAGACTGCAGAATGGTTAGTAAATAAAACTTTTGACCACAAAAGTCGGAGGGTTAGTCAAAACGAAAAGGGTTGCACGGAATGCAGCGACGGTCTTCCTAAGTTAGTTGGCGACTAAGAAAGTATGACTAGTTCCGCAGATGTCGAGTGTGTCAGGAAAAGCGAGATGCGAAACCGCTCTCCGCCAACAGAAAAAATGTGGGAAAATTTCATCAAGTTTCCAACTCGGTCGCCGCGCTGGACCAGCATTGGAACGACGACAAATGCTATGGCCAACCGTTGGAGCATCACCGTTTTATGTTTCCAACCGTTTGATCAACACGCGGCCAACGTGTTTCCAACATTTGTTCAACGTTGGTCCAACGTCTTTCCAACACGTTTCCAACACGTGTGCGTTGAAACAAAAGTGTTATCAGGTTCCCATGACTGAAGTTGACTACTGCGGGTCAATTTAGGCACAATCGCATTGAATCCACCCGAATTGGCCCGCAGTTGTCAACTGGTGGGTTTGGAGGAGGTGCGCGGGTCAACAATTGTGAACGCGCACCGAATACATCAAGAAATTGGAGCCCACGAAAGAGGGTCGCACCCCCGGGCAAAGGAAGATGAGGCTGGTCGTAGTTGAAGGCCCGCGGAGCTCCCTCCGCGGACGATTCCGAATCCTGCTGCATGCGCAGTGATGCGCTCGAGCCTCGGAAGGGGGCCAACGGTTCGCGGCTGTTTGTTCAGCGTGGAATGAGATGGTGCCCATGCAAAGGAACTGCC